TTAGGTCTCTGTTAAATTGCTTGCGATGGACTGTAGAGAGTAGAGTTGAACGCGGAGTTGCTGGCGGTATAGCTGCTGGCGCCGGTGGTGCGCTGAATGGGAGATAGGTGCCGGCGATGAAAAGGCTGCGGACGATGAAGTGACTGCTGGCGATGTGGTTGGCTTGCTGGCGGTAAGGCGGTTGCTACGGGATTTACGGCGATCGATATCCGTTTGCTGGGGCCACGCGGAATACACGAGTCGGCCCTTATGTAAAACACAAACTTTGCGAATGAAAACACGACGGGATTTTGGTAAGTGTTTCGTCGCGCAGGACCGAGCGGTTATTTCAAAAATGGTGCACAAATTATATTTTTTTAAATGCTTGTAAACGTTCGCGAAATATATAGCGATATAGATATATAGATAAGAATTCCAAGTTTCGAGGCAAAGGCAACCGCACAATTCGACGTGAGAGAAAATAATAACAATGATTGTCAAAGCAAAAATAACAGGGTTGCACACCTGTCAGCTTTTTGTGATGTACGCGCAAGCGCGTTGCCAACGCCTTACAACATAACTGGTGTTATTCACGCATAACATGTTTATATATGTAGGATGTATATACATTTTAAATTCAAAAAAGGTGAAATTCATTAAAATACAATTCAATTCAATACAATTCATAGGTGCAATTCGAAAACGTAATTCAAATACTGATGTGACTCGCTGGACTATACTCGCGTAGCCAGGCACAGTAAGCACAATATCGGCCTTTTTTGCCACATGAGTCAATTTATTGTGAAATCACACGATTGGGTCATGAAATGAGGCAATAATTGGTGTATTACGGCAATCGTGGGATCTCAGCTTTAGAAGTAATTTTTCGGGTTATGAAAACAATCTTCGCAAAACTCGAATTCTGGGCACCCTTTGCGGCATTTCTAAATTGTATAACTACTTCTGTAAATAAATATGTGCATATACATACATATTGTACAATGTTAGTATATATATTTCTCAACAGGCACACTATCCCAATTATTTTCTTAATCACAAAGTACGAGAGAGTCGTATAAAAATCATTGGCAACACAAGGAAGTCAGCACGAGGTTGAGTAATGACCCAACACCAATGTATGTATTGCTACGAATCGGTGTACTGTGCGGACTCTGCCAAAAAATCAGCAAGTTGATGAGCACTTGGTGTTTCATCGGAGCCCTTCTAGTGCTCCCGGCAATGGCGGGAGGCTCAACAAGCAAAATTATTGTGTCAGGCAACAACTCTGTCAGCGATAACTATGAAAAAGAAGGAGGTGGTTATACTACAGCATCCGCTAGTGTTACCAGCAGGGGCGGTAGCCGTAGCAGTGGCAACGAAAGTGGGAAAGGTGGCGGCACTGTGGTCAGCGGCAATGTTGTGATAGTGACCGGTGGTATTGGGCCGTCGTCTATGTTGAATAGTAAGTACAATATAAAAAAATAAATTTGTTTGCATGTATATATCTAATGTAGGATTGTCACATTAAGTTAAACTTTTGGCAAACAAAATTAAACTCTGGGCAAATGGATTTTAACTTTTAGCAAATAGCTTTAAGCTTTGGCAAATGAGTTTAAACCAAGGAATGAAACCGAAACCCAAACCGAAACCGTAACCGTTTAAAACCGTTTCGTTTTTCAAAACCGAAACCGAAACCGTAACCGTTATCTTGACCTGAAAAGGAATGATACCGAAACCATTTCAATCACAGGTTTCAATCGGTTTCCAGAAATTTACAAAAATAATAAATAAAAATTTCTTTGAAATAAATGATTTATTTAACCAAAATCAGCAACATTTTGCTAAAATTCTTGTTAAGTAGTTAATAAGTATGACAAGGTAACTTTTCGCAAAAATCTGCTGATGACTTTGTTGTTGTGAATCGATAATCGATTAATTATATTTAAGTAGTTTCTTTCCCGTACGCAATGCGAGATCCCGCGTGAGCCCAAAATAGCCCAGAAATCATTCCTGTACTCAACAAAATGGGTAATAGAGAGCGAAAATTCGAGCGTATTCGATCGTAAGTGTATTCTTCTTCCTGCCCGAAACAGCCCGGAATTTTTCTCCGAGTAAAAATGGATAAAGTGTCAAAGTGCATATCAGCTGTATTGTGTTTACATGTTGCCTGGATTTACTTGGTGCTTTTAAGGAAAAGTGAATGGCCTGTTGATGTATTTTCAATCTATGTACTTAAAATCAAATTTGTGAAACCAAAATTCAATTTCCAAGTGTTTGCATTTAATACCATGTTCTGACCGACAACCAAAACATTTTTCCTTCATTTTCTTTTCATTTACAACCTTTAACTTTCATTCTTATTTTGCTTTGGCCAGGCAATTAACAATAAATCCGAAATGGCGTATTAAAGATGATAAAATATGACTTCCGCTTCGATAAATAATCGAAAAAAAACTAGTGAAGACACCGATTGGAATGAGTGGAAAGTGAGTTTTCAAGTAGTTTTCAGCGAAAACTGGTTTTCGTTTAACAGATTTTATATGGACGAAAACACAAGTTTCAGGTCGAAAACCAGTTTTAGCAACGAAAACATGTTTCCGATGTCGATCAGAACATGGTATAAGTGACAAAAACAAGAACAACGTGAATCAGCTGTTGCTCGACTTGTGGGCACGAAATGTGGGTTTTTGCGTTTCCGTACTTCTGAACTTTGTTCCATTTTTGAAAGAAAATGTTTCTCTTATTCTCTAATTACCAAATCCGGTCCGGATTGTTAGGGAAAGAACCTAGTGTTGATATTATCAGTGAACTGTAAATTTCGATTTTCTTTCCTCAACGTTTAAGACATTGTTGTTTAAATAATATCAACAAAATTTCTGTGAAAAACCGAAACCGGAACGAAACCGAAACCAAAACCGAAATAAATTTTGAAGAACGAAACCAAAACCGAAACCGAAACACTTGGCAAAACCGAAACCCAAACCCGAACGTTATTTTGAATCGGTTTCATTCCTTGGTTTAAACTTTTGGCAAATTAATTTAAACTTTGGGAAAGTAAAATTAATCTTTGGGCAACTAAAATTAAACTCTATTGTAGTACTAAACAGTGTTTGAACAACTGAAAAATACACTAAATAAAGCAAGTACCATAAATATTTATGTTTTAAAGCTGTGTGCGAGTTGACCTAAATTTTAGTACCTAAACAAATATTTCGCTTAGGGGATTCCCTTAAACTCGTAAAGTTTTAAACCGTGTAAAACTCGTAAGTTTACGAGACTTTCATGGGAACGCCCCCTTTGTGAAAATGTGTAAATAGGCATGATTCAGTAATAAAAGGTTTGCTCAGAAAACAGTTTTCTCGCTCCCTCTTGACAAAATCGGCTCCCTTAGCAAGGCACTGTGTGTGGGTTCGTGTGTGTAGCAAACCTTTAATTATTGAAACATGGTAAATAGGTACGTAAAGTGACTTTGAAAGATCATCCAGGATGTTCTGAAGCAATTTTTGTTTCGTAGTATTTTCCATAATATCCCGCCATCTAAAATAAAATTAACAAGTAAGAAAGTCTAAGTTCGGGCGGAGCCGAACATTAAATACCCGGCGCAAGTATTAAATATATGTTTTCCACCTTACCGAAAGCTACCGCTACATGATAAGCGGGTGTATATATATTAAGTAAACTAGCATCCTTAAATTTCGAAATATTGAAATTTCAAGCATTTCTGAAATTTACCGTTATATGAAAAGCGGCCGTAATTTTAGTCCGGTTTCAATAATTTTCAACTGTGGCAAGCACAATAATCATACCGAGTTTGGTACAAATTGCTAGAACTGTTACCGATGTACATAAATGTGATCATAAGTGGGCGGTGCCACGCCCATTTTCCAAAATTTTATCATAAGCGTATTTCCTGATAAAGAATTGTTGCAACCGTCAATTTTGAATAAATTAGCTTTAATATTTACTGATTTATCGAGGATTTCGTATTTCTCGAAATTACCGTTATATGGGATGTGGGCGTGGTTATTGTCCGATTTTAAAAATTTTCGGCCATTTGGTATGCTGTACCAGGGTCAACAACTGTGCCAAGTTTGGAAGAAATTGGTGCAGCGGCTTCCAAAATATACACATGTAACTATAAGTGGGCGGGGCTACGCCCATTTTTCAAAAATTTTTAATATTCTTATTTCTCGTCTAAAATTTATTCTAAATATCAATTTTGAGTGAATTATCTTCAGTAGTTACTAAAATATCGCAGTTTTCGTATATCTGAAAATTACCGGTATATGGGAGGTAGGCGTGGTTATTGTTCGATTTCGCCCATTTTCAATACCGCCCGTCCCACGCCCAATAGAAGTGCATGTACGAAGTTTCGTTAAGATATCTCAATTTTTACTCGAGTTATCGTGTGCACAGACGGACGGACGGACGGACGGACAGACAGTCACCGCTTAATCGATTTCTCTTTTCATTCTGATCATTTATGTATACATTTGTCTATATCTATCTCGATTCGTTTTGCCTGTTACAAACAACCGTTATGTGAACAAAGTTATAATACCCTTGTGCACAAGTGCGCTCGGGTATAAAAATGCCGAAAACTAGCAGAAAACCTAAGTTAATACAGTTAGTGGATGAAATTTATTCATTTTATTCGTGTATTATTTTTTTCATTTAATTTCAATATTTTATCATATATTTTGGAATAAAAGAAGGCGTGTGTAGCACCGTACAAATGATAGAAGTGAAACTTCTTCAAAAAGGTGTAAGTACCAGGTACCTACTGATGAAATTTGATGTGTTAACATATGTTTTCGGCTCGGCAAACCATTAGGCGATTGAGTTGCATGCATAGATATGGTTAGAAATTAAACAATAACTTCATTTCATTTTATTCATTTTCTGATATATAATTTATTTATTCATTTTCCGGTAACACCACCTTATATGAATTCGCCCTTCTAGCATCCTTAGGACCGGGTCGTAATGGAAGTAACTGAACGGAGTGAACTGTCACATAATTATCTATTGTATGTTTAACAAATAAATGCAAATATTTATAATGCAATCAATAGATCCTTATGAAATCGTCGCAATTTGTTACGATTCTGCCCGTGCAATATAACCAAGGCACTTAGTGACGTACGCACTTTTGTTTGCGAAAAGCATTTATTTAAGTTGAAAGAAGACGAATTCCTTTGTTCGGCATTTCTCCTTACTCGCTTTCTATCTTCGTATATTCTTACCACGGATTCATATATTCATGTGGTAGCAAGAGTATAAAAACATAAAATTACCTTATAAATTGTACGCACAATTATCCTGTATAATTGAAATCATGAAATAGTGTTCATGCACTCAGTTTCTACTCATACGCATAATGGTAGTAAATGAGAGAATGAAATACAACAAACACATGATTTTGACATAATGCAAGACTTAAACGTTGCGACCGTTGCTTCAGATCGATCCGCAATCAAGCTGGACATTTTGCCCACAAATATTGAAATTTTGCGAGCAGTCTCATTGTTAAATCTGATTTTTACAATTTCATAGTTTCGACATACATTTATAAAATTCAACGGAAGCACGTACCTATTTCGGCTGAGTTATCCATTTTCGGTTATTTAGTGTACAAAATAAACGCAAATTAAACGAGTTTGTACAACATGGCCATTAATGTAGCGATAAGTTGTACAACTTGCCATTAAATCAAAATTTTTTGATCTTTCATACAACCAAGGCACAAATTCATTCAACAGACCCACAAACGGTGCAATCTAGAGAAAAACATCACCAAGTTGAACCAACGATACGTTTATGGCTTTCTTTAAGAGAGACACCTGGGCGAAAATTTCAGCTGCTCCTGTAACACTACCTTATATGAGTTGGCCTTGCTATCATCCTCACATATGTAAATATGTTCATCAAAGTATATCAACGAAAGACGAGTTCATACAAGGTGATAGCGGGAGCACAAAAACTACTCTACAAAACTATACGCACAATGACAAACATGAACAAATGTACAACAAACACATCATTTTGATAATCAGTACAATTCGCATTAATATCAACGATTAGCTTTGCTAGCTATAACATATAACAGTGCTGGTCTTAAGTACATACATACATATGCCCATCAGTATATCAACGAAGCCCGTTTGTTTTATCATACATATATCCATACAAACATATGTATGTACTAGGGCTGATGATACCCGGGTAGCCGATTACCCGGGGCTTTTATTACCCTGGCACCCGGGTAATATACATATGTTGATCCCGGTTAAATGAAAAACACCCGCGTAACGCGACATAAAGCTTCTTGTATAATCTTTTTGGTGAGGATAAATATTTTTTCAGTGAGACAATTTTTTGTTTATATCTAGAATGTGCACCTATGCGCTAGCCTGAGTAGACGCACGTTTTAGCAAAGAAAAAAACGGAAAAAATTCTAAGGAA